AATCTCTGTATATAGAAAGATAGTATGACTAATTTCTTACTATCCTGGTTACTGTAATTGTTTTGTTCATATGCTTTGTGTTTTCTATTCTATGCTAAGCAATATAGCATAAGTTATGAAATGAAAGCAGAGATCATAACTTCCTAGTTGAAAGACAATCATCTCTCTTCTAATGAGTAAAAAAAAATCTATAACATGTTCTTAAGAAAAAATAATACAGTACTACACTGAATTTCAGGTTTACTGGAAAATTCAGAAAAATTTTTTTAAAAGTCAACACGAGATTCAACTGCATAATATTACCATTATGCGTTAGATAATAATGATAGTGAAAATTATTATTAATTAAAGTGTGTGTATTTAAGGTGGTATTCCTTATTGATGTTGAGACTATCTGAGGCAGTCTTGGATTAACGAACTGTTATTGGGAATAAAAAGACAGTTGCAGAGAAGAAAATTTTCTTTTCGACGAAATCATCAACAAGGCTGTACATTCGTGTATTTATAATAAATGGGTAGGAAAGTTCCAGAATAATTTCCGGTCAAGGGTCAGATTAATAAAATTACAATTAGGAATTAAAATGCCATAATAAACAGGGGAACGGATAAAGCTCAAACAAACTAGCATCATAATTACTGAGAAGATTGACATATTGTGCAAATAGGGGTCAGAAATGTAGAAATAACAAAAATATACAGGATGTCTGGATAAAAAATCTAGTGGGATCATAACTAATGTGATGAAGAAAAACCTAAAATAACATTATTAAAAGGGAAGTTTGGATAAGAAAGGCAATGGGATAGTCACTATTAAAAGAATGATGGCCATGGCAGGGAAAAGGGTTGGACGTATTTATTTTGGATACATAACGTGGGTTTCAGATTTTGGATGGCTAGTGCTTCGGCCATGCCCAGTGTCTTAATTTGACTCCCTTTGATAGGTTTGATCGAATCTTGTATATTATTTTGAAGGATTTTTCGAATAGAGCTGAATGTCCTGAATTGACCAGATGTTCTGTCACTGAACTATACAACCGTTTTTGTTCTCCTTTTACTAGCCAGGCTGGATATTCATGTTATTTTAAGTTTTTCTTAATCCCTATTTACACTACCTTATCTTCATATCCGAACTTCCTGTCTGTTCTGTCATTTTATTATTTCTACACATTTAATCCCTAGTCGCATAAACAATTATTCGTCACATTAGTTATGATCCCACTAGATATTTTTTTATCCAAATATCCTGTATATTTAATCCCTAATTGCACAATATGTTAATCTTCTCAGTAATTATGATGCTAGTTTCTTTGAGCTTTATCCGTCCTCCTGTTTATTATAGCATTTTAATTCCTAATTATAATTTTATTAATCTGACCCTTGACCAGAAATTATTCTGGAACGAATGTACAGCCTAGTTGATGATTTCTTCGAAAAGAAAATTTTCTTCTCTGCAACTGTCTTTTTATTTTATTCCCTATGATCAAATGAGTATATTCCGTGAATTGTTATTGATAAAGTGGGGAATAAGTGAAGGTGAAGCCTTAAATCTTCATTACCTTCGAATCATTAGTCCGGTTCTTTAACAGCTTAGCTTCGAGATAGTAGCTGTTAACCATGTTATTATTACACTGCAATCACAAGGACTTAAGTTGTATAGTCTAGCTAATAGAGCTAGAGGCATCTTGTTCGAATCCTACCACCATCCAAACTTTCAAATCAACTTCAATCATCACTGACTACTGTATTTTTTTGGTTGTTAATTTCTTCCTAAAGCAGCTTCTTCAATCCTCATAATCTCTTACCATTTCAATTTCAAATGAATTTGTACTACATATTTTTAAAAGATAATATCTCGTAAACTTTCGTCTATTTAACTATCGTTTTCCACTAAAGTTCTCCCCTATATATATGGTTTATTTATTAATATCTCATAGTAAAAGAATTTTAAACTAGACTATTTAAACATCTGCTTTTAGGAAGTGATAACTTTTAATACTTTTGTCCTCTTTTTATCAGTCAGTATAGTTTTATTTGATTTTAAGTAAATAAAGCTTTATTTAGTAGTATTGTGTATAAAAGAAGGGAGATTTATGTTATTCCATGTAGACATTAGAAAGGTCTACTACACTTTTGTTCAGCTGAATAAACTTTATCATTTTTTCTTAGCATGTTTCTATGACAGACAAACAGACAGATAACACAGATGTTGAGTTTAAAAGATTTTATTGTCTTTAATCAGTTATTGACACATTTATATTGATGTTACTTAACATGAGGTGATTTCACTTTCCGTTACGTACTTATACATATTTATATATGTGCTTGTTGTATTCATCACTTTTTATTCTTCCTACATCCATTTTAAAACTATCGCCTTTACGACATATTATGATATTTAAACAAATTTATTATCGTTGTTATTTGACTCGTATTTTATAAATTATTTTCTTGACTGTTTTTTTAAAACTTGTTGTTTCTTCACTTACACAATGACAGAACTGGTAAATTATATAAGGTTTGCTTAGATGAACTTTTGATGCATGGGATTTGTTGTTTTGAAAAAGTGAAGAGCTTTACAATTTCGTTCAAAGGATGAATCATTTCAAGTTTTAGAATCTGACAGTTGATTAAAAATCAAAACTTAAATGCACAGTAAATGACATTATAGTAAACATTATGCTTAGAAATTAATAGGACAATTTCAGTTAGACGTGTATTTAGTTAACACACTGATGTGTGTCAATGAAGCGGGGAAGCTTAGCTGAACATTGGGAAGGTTATTCACTATAGAAGAAAGGAAAACAGAGAATCTAAGTAGTACAGATATAGTTCTTAACTAGTCTTCTATCTCTGTCACATTGTATTCCTTAGTCAATAATCACTTACTGACCTCTTCAGTCTGAAATGGAATGCTTATCGAGTGAATCTAAATCTAACGTAATCTTCTAGTTGATCTACCTCATATACATCTCAAACTGATGTACTTTGTTAAGGTAATACATGGGTGAATGCTTCAATGATTGTAGTCATGTGGATTATCCCACTTGAGCAAAACTAGATGATATTTATCGTATCGAAGTTGCATTAACATGCATACATCTAAGTACATTGGAATCCACCAGCCCATGGATTATATAAGTGCGTTGTCTGACAGTAAAGTTGTATTAAAAGCTATCAGATAGGTTGTCTGAAGGCCTATGATTCAGTTTTCTCATGAGGCTACTGAAGAAAATGAATTATTTTCTTCTGCCCTATCATTTACAAAAATCCTAGTGAGCAAAAGTTAAGCCTTTTTAGACTAATATTTTGGTGTTCTTATGATTTTGTAATATATATATTCACACCCGATAACTGGGTTTTCTTTGTTGAAACTTTTATGTTTGCACACTAGATATCTGTACTAGCCATTTCAACAGTTGAAGTTTTACAATTTTTATTGCTGCGTTATATTACTGATTTCTATATCCAGATAGCAATCCAGTTACTATTAATTATTCCTGAGAAGTTAATTATTGAAAAACAGAGTGACACTCTTTTAATACTAATAAAAAAAGTGTGATATATATAAACCCAGTATATTTTTAGATTGAGTGTAAATATTTAATAGTATCGTTATTATTATTATTATTACTATTGGATTTTCGTCTTGTTGAATGTCAGTGTCATTCTTAGCTGACTTAACTATTCTTATATTGATTGACGTTCATCATTATTTTTCTTTAATGTGAATAATCCCTATGTCTGGGTATAGGACTCATTTTTTTTTGGGGAAAATTTCTCAACAATAACTAACCCACAATATATACATATACACATATATATATCGTATCCTTTTGTAAATTGATGTCAGAACTTTTACTAATATTGATGAAGTAAGTATTAGTAGCTTCTGTTTTAGAACTTTTTCCTTCAATAAAGTACGCAGTTTAATTCAAAAAAGTTCTGCATCAAGTACTTTGATGTTTAAATACCAGACTTATAGTAAGTGTTCTTTTTACTTAATGTCTGTTATACCTTAACTTTATTTGAGTATTTTTTATAAATGTAGTTAATGAAATCTGATCTATTTAAATCAATAATTCAAGCTGTCTACTGAAAACATTTCAGGCGTAACGGATGAAGATGTCAAAGCAGGGTAGAATCGTAAAGGTGAGATACGCCTTCATCAACCTGAAACCAGTTTGGAAATCTCCTGCACTCAGTCAGCATAAACAATAAGATTCGACTTTTCAACACAAATGTAAAGTCCGTCAGTTCTTCTATACGGGTCAGAAACCTGCACCAAGCTGCCACCTTCGCTGGCTCCATACTGAAAATCAAATGACCAACCGGCCAGAAAGAATTAGCAACAAGAAACTCTGGCGATAACCAAACCAACCAAGAGCCTATTGCTCAACAAATATGTAAGATAAAAATGGAGATGGATCGGGCATACATTGAGGAGGCCGTCAAATGAAATCGCGCGCAATGCAGGCCATCGCTCCAATGGAATCCAAATGGGAAACGATGAGTGGGTCGCCAATGTGAGGGTGACATAGAGGTGATCGTGTTGTGAGGAGGAGATGAGAGATTATGGGCAATCGTGGGCACAGCCAGCTGAAGAGGACAGCAGAAAATAAAACAAAGTGGAAATGTGTTGTTGAAGCCGTATGTTCCACTCGGAACCCAAGGGAATAATAGTAATAATACTGAAAACTTTTACACTTCTCTCCACAAAAGAATATTGTTTCGAAAGTTTATAAGGAATCCTTTCTTAATCCATAGTCAGTGGACACTACATTCAAATAACCTTTTAAAAAGTTTCACACTCAAAATGTTAATTCTAATACATATTTGTCAGCAACTTATTTTGTGCATTGAAGGCAAACTCAATTCTACACATTAACCTAGAAATGAATAACTTAGACTATTATCTCAACATTAAAAATATCTAGAATTGCTAATAGACAAATAATTACAAATCAATCAAGAGAAAAGAATGATTTTCAAAACTAAATTACCATTTTGTCTGTAACCGGTTTTCTCTTCCGTTGATGGCGATTGATAATCATTCGTGTTTACATGTTTTGGGAAAAAAAGTTCATTTTTGTTGTATTGTTTTGTTGATGTTGAGGTTGATTGAGGTAGTCTCATATTATTATGATACATTGTTTTGTTTTGATTTCCACTAGTATCTTTATCAGCAGATTCTTTTTCTTTAGTTAGTTTATTCCTCAATATATTTTCATTTGATTTAGACAATTCAGTATTTTCACTTATAGGATCATTTGAATTTTTCACATATTCACTGGCGGAATTTTCATTCTGATTATTTTTAATAGATATTTTCCCATCTTTATCTATTATTTCCAATTGTAGTTTTTCACTGTCTTCTTTATAATTATTTAAACAACTAATTGGTATAGGTTTATTACTTTGATCATTGACAGTAATACTGTCATTATCATTGTCTTTGGTATGCTGTACACCGGGTGTGACTGGTTCATTATTTTTAACCAATGAATAATCAGATTGAGTCAACGCCCTTGTATTCTTATTGATCAATTCTTGTTTAAACGTATCAGATTTAAATATATTTGTGGGTAGTGGTGGTAAATTTGTATTAGAGAATTTAGGTACTACAACTACAGCTTCTTCTCTTCTTAATGAATTTGAAGATGAAGTATTCACCTCATTATTTACATTAGTAATAGTAAGAAAATTAGAATCGGTAGTTTGATTTGAATGAGATTCTTTATTATTATTATAATCATTCTCATTCTCATTATCCTCATCATCATTATCATCATCGTCAGCATCGTTTAATGAACCTTGACTTGATTCAACAATTTTTGATAATCGTTTCTTTTTAGTTTCACTTGGTACAGAATATAAATTTGGTCGATATACACTGTTGGGTTGAATAATACCGCCTAGTTGTTTGTAATTTATATCCATCCATAATTCTGATTGTGAAGTGTCATAGTGAGCTTCATTTAATTCATCGGAATTGGATGAAGAAGTAGACGAAGGAGATGAAGGAGGTGAATTCGGTGCTGAGTCATCATATTCATTGTCTGAATCAGAAGTGTTTGATACTTCTAGTGGTATACCTTTTGCTGTATTGGTTCGACGATTTGGTCGTTTTAATGCAATACGTTTAGAAAGAGTTGAAGAAACTTGCTGTAATAAGAAGATATAAAAAGATGTGATGTGATTAATATAATTAAAATTATTGCATTCTAAGTGATTAGAAAAATAAATGAATCGTGCATTTCTTAAATTTTCTACATTTTACCATTCATAACTACAAATTTTTAATGTGGTTTCTAGCCAGACTAATTAGTCATTTTATCATGACAACGCTATCCATCAAATGGTATTGAAATATTCATTTTTCATGTGACTACACTTTAATTTATAGAATATAACTCATGATGGTGCATAATTTGACAAGAGATTGACAATCAAGAAAAAAAAATACACTAGTTATTGTTTGGTAATGGATTCATGTATACGCTCTAACTCCATAGATGTAATTTACACCTTGAAGTGTAAAGTGATCTAGGGTTGCAACCGTGGACTGCGTTTCTACGGTGATATTTTGAAAGGATTTCCACTCTGTTACTATATTCTTACATTAATTATGAAAACACCTGAGATCATATCCGCTAAAGCACCTCAGATGAATATCGCCAATCATAATGTTTATCCTATAAATTTTGACAATGTCATTGACAGTGAAAAAACGCCCTTATAACATTATCAGCTGACTAGATTACAATGTCGTTAATCATAAAGAATATATATATATATATATATCATTGGATGGAGTATTTCATCATGAGCTGACATCAGTTAGAGAACCACTTGCAAACCAGCTGGGGGTACTGGACAGCTGTTTCGTCCTAGTTTCAGACTCTTCACAGTACGCACCCACACCGCGGGGTTCGAAACCAGGACCTTCTGGTTACAAAACGAGCTCACAGACCATTCAGACACTGGGACCCGACCCAATGGTCCATGAATTCTACCTTTTACCAATTCACGACATAGCGCAACCATTTCGCAATGTCTACTTTGATGGGTTACTGCCTCATCTTCAACCTGCTGTACCCTACTGGTCACGGCTTCCTGGTGGATGCGTACTGCTGAAGAGTCTCAAGCTTGGCTGACGAAACAGCTGTCCAGCACTCCCATGTCTTCCAGTGGTTCTCTAACTGATGTCAGCCCATGATGAAATCCTCCATCCAATCAAACTAAATTCCTACAAAACCAATACTTGAATATATATATATGACTTTGGTTTATTGCAGAATATACGGCCTCACGTTTAATGGGTTCTCAGATGGTTTGATAAACGAATCGCTCGGGTCTGTATAATACCTACTGTTACCTATCTTAGTTTTTATTATCTGACTTATTAATTCATATTCGCAATTTGCAAATTACATAGTTCCATGTGGAATTTCACCACAGTACCCATCTGAAACTGAAATTATTCCCATCATAACATGTGAACAATTTTTCGATGTCAGATGGTTGGAGGCGATCGGCCACAGGAAGCCCTGCTTGGACCTAGTTGGCACTTACCAATCAGCAAGGCGTATCTGCAACCTTGAAGGAACTCATGTCCCTTCGGAGACTCAAACCCGCGTTACCCAGTGTTGCCCAGAGACGTTACCATTAAGCTTCCTACCGATTGCCTTCAACTATCTAACATCAACAATTCGAAGTCCGCCGTAATGGCAAGCTACCTAGAATGGTGGCCACATTGCAAACGTGACTGATAGAATTCAGTCTCCAGCAAACAAAGAATTGGACACATCACACCAGTTACTAGTGTCCAGTCAGTGTGAACAGTTTGTTCCCACTAGTGGTATTCAAAAACCAGACATAAATGCATAAATACACAGATATTGTTGATTGATATGAATACTCGTATACCAGTCCTCTCAAGCAGCTACACAAAATGAAGGTGATCCGAACTAATCTCACCGTCAGTGATGAGTCAAACCAAGTATACCGCTGATGAACTCAGCCTTAAACGAGAAAAGCAACCGTTCGGCATATAAATCACTTGGATCTGACTAGCAAGCACCACTGGTCAGTCTGGGTGGTATTCAATCAATCATACTAATCAGCAGTATGCAACACCATGCAGTTTTCCATTCGTCTTGAATATATGTACAAAGAGCTAAATATCTTTCAAAGTTGTAATAAAAACATTTATGCCTGCATAAGAGATGGTCAGATGCCATTTTCACATAACTTCTAGACTAATTCCGACAACAAGTGTAATTCTGTTGTGATATAAGTCACGTTATTGATAAACAATAGAATTTTGACTCAATCATGTCGGTGCGTCGGTGGCACAGCGGTTAGGACGCTCGCCGACCATGCACATGGTCCGGGGTTCGATCCCCTGCCCACGCACAACCGATATCAATGGTTGGCCTGCAAAATTCGGGCTACTGATATCACATGCTAAAAATTCCATACTTGTGCCAAAAATATGGCGTGGAATCCAGCTATAATCAAAAATCAAAAAAAATCTGCGGACAATTCAATAGGTAGTAAGTAAGATTCTGTTATATGAGTGATGTAGAAAATATTTTTACAGTCATTTTTCTAAAGCAAAGTGACACAAAACAATGTCTGAATAGAATAAAAGTATAAAAATCATACTCTACCACCCTTCCTGATGTTTTATAAACACAATTTATTAAAACTGATAGCTTTCCTCAGGGCAGCATGGACCGAACATCAAGTTTAAATCACTTATTAACCAGAAGAAAAAGCTTGAAGAAAGCCATACACCTACTTTAAACAAGTCTGACATATCGCAATCCTAATTTTCATAGACATCAAGCATATTTAATTAGTCAGATTATCCAGGGTAGTCTTACTCATTTTGTTGACATAGAAGATAATTGTGACAAATGAATGTTGAATTGCTTCACTAATTAACAAATTTGCTTTCAAATTTCATATTTTATGCTTGTCATCTTGTCTTTAGGATGTGCTATTACTTGAAAGGTAAAAACAGTGTTTCACTTCTTATGGTATTTTAGACAAAAACATGAATTACTAGCATTTGTACAGGAGAAAACAGGCGAAATACATTTAGGAAATAAGCAATAGGTGAATCATATTTGAGGATCTTTCAAACAGGGTATTAATGGGAAATTAACTACCTAGATGTTTACTACTATTATTTCATGTAAATAAAATAAATTAATAACTGGAAAAGCCAGAAAACACACTGATATCTTATAAATTTGGCGTTTACCTTATGTTACCGAGTGTTCGTTTGCAGTGATTGGATCGGTTACAGGTTTGATCACAAGTTTATATCAGTTAGGGAACCATTAGAAAACCAGGGAGTACTCGGCAGTTGTTTCGTCCCAGTTTGAGACTCCTCATCATGAGTTTGAAACAAGGATATCCTGGTTGTAAGATCAGCTCGTAGACCATTCAGTCACTGGGACCCAATCGAATGGCCCATGAATTCCAACTTCTACCGATATATATATATATATATCGCGCAACCACCAGCCAGTGTTATAGGTGAGCACTTGTTCTCTTACCTAATTTGATGAAGCCTACTGGTTTCATAAGCCACTGGATGTGGTCCCAGTGACTGAATGGCCTAAGAGCTTCCCTTTGTTCCGAGTCTCGGCAGGTGTGTACTGATAAAGAGTCCAAAACTAGGAGGAAACAGCTGTCCAGTACTACCTGGTTTCCCAATTGTTCTCTAACTGATGTCATCTTATGGTAAACCTGTTTACCTTATATCACTAAATAATTTTCTGATTATGTTTAGTATGAAATAGTTAAGTGGCGTGATAACAGCCATTTACAGCCACAAGTAGATGTTACGAAATGTTATCTTTCGATTTTACTGATATTCTGTTAGTTAAGTTCTTAGTTCATGACCCTCAATTTGTTGGAATCATACGAGTCTGAAAAAATTCTACTTTTGTTCCTTTTTCCAAAGCACAATGTAGTTGCTTTTATTTCTTTATGTCATATGGGATGTAACGTGCCTGCTACCTGTTACTCAATAAGAGTAAGTGTCTTGAACAGTTAACAGTGGCGATTTACTAAGGTTTAACTTTTGTTTGCAGACATTCTTACGGCATATTGGACAGTAAGTTTAAAAATTCCTACTCTTCTAGCCAGCTTCAAAAATCTAAAAGTTATTAAGAAACTAAAAACTAGGTGGTTTATTTTCATCATCAAACTTCAGTAACTGAGATTAAATGCTGACAATTACTTTTAGCCAGATTGATTTACACCAATGTGGCTACAACAGAGTCTTACATTAAGTTTAAACATTAATCTTTGAAAACGTTAATTGAATGTTTGACCAAAAAACACAGTTTATCATCGTGAAAATGAAATCTCTGAGGAAACCTAATTGAAAATGAGGCTATTTAATGACATTAGTCACTGCTTTATTTCAATCATCAAGAAATATACGAACGTATAGATCTCCTTAGTAGCTACGATGAAGAACTTCGGTTGGATTACTTCAGAGATATAGCCTAAAATTTTACACATATGAAACTTTGTATCAATAGTTTTCAACCATGTAATATACATGAGTATTTGCTAATAATATTTATTTGTCCTTTGTTACAGTTTCTTTTGTGTTAAAACTTATACTACTAATCACTACTAAGTAGTGTGAATTTATATTTCGCTTTTTGTGTATTTACTCAATAACCATAGCTATTGTTTACTGTCAAAATTTATGTTACCTGATGTATAAACATTTTGTAATGTCTACTGTACATGCTTAATTTATATTTTACTCTCTGTCAAACATTATTTATTCTAATCCTTTACTTTTTATCTGGATATTCGCGCGTTGTTGAGTCTGATCGTGGATCGCCCTTAACAAAACTCTTCTGATATTTCTTTTTAAGTACAGTGGCAATGCATTTGACGGTTTTCAGTATTAAACGCCTCACAATTTGAATTCTGTACATTATATTCATTATCTTATGTGTATTGCATAGTACCGTACTTTAGACAAATCCTGTACTTTTTGGATTTTTCGTGCAACTCAAACGTTTGATTTAATTAGTCGATTGCAATCATCGCTCCAGATTTCTTAGAAGAAATCTATACTCTGATTATTACATTACTCTATATGCATTCACTATGTGCCTGACTACATTTGTCCCATCGCTGTTCATTTATTTCTCTGATATATTATCTCATCTATTTACTTCGCGTATTGCGAGTATAGACATTATGTATTTTGTTATAATATTTAACAAAATTCTGCCCCTATTTAATTCCTACTGAGTTTATAATCGTATAAAACTCAGTGTCTCAACAGTTAAGCTCTTTGTAGACCCTTTATTTAATTTCATGAGTTTACTTTGGAAATTCATCACTTAAATGCTGTAAAGTTTGTAGTAGTAAAAGGGACTGGGCAAAGTTAAGCTTTAAACACTACTAACTACCAATCAGTGACTGACTTTGAATTGCCAAATGAGTTTCATCCACGTAATTTGAAGGCTCTATTCCGCTTGATTCGACTCAAATGTCAGGGAAGGTAAGCTGATGATTCTAGTATTTCATAGGAACATTTTTTGCCAGGTCCCACTTATCCTTAACCTGGATTTGGTATATTTGTAGTTACTGGGTATTAAAACAGCCTTTGACAGGTGTAGCTGTTGAAACAGAGAAAATAGTCTCCTATCATCAGTTCAGTGGTACCAGTACTGCAGAGATATCGCGTCATGGAAAATGGAGAGAATTACTTCGTTATTAGGAGGAGAAGGTGTCATCGTACATGAGGATGAGTGGAAAGGTTATAACTCCCTACCATCCCTTGGATATATTCACCAAAGAGTGAATCATTCTAATGATTTTGTGGATCTCACACAGGGAAGATTAAAACAGGATTAGGGCCAATAATGAATGTCAAAAGGATATCATTCATAGTCATTTAGGTGAATATATGTGTAGAATGTGGTGTAACTTTCCAGTTGATACTCCTATGCTCAACTGGGAGATGTTATTACCATATATCAGAGAAAGCTATCCTATGCAACAATTTTATGCAGTTTTTATGCTTTTTTTCATAAATATATGTTTTCCGTAACCAAAACTACCTCCTTCATGTGACTGGTGAGTTCACGGTCATTCACTGATTGGTCGTTAGTGGTGCTTAAAGTTTAATTTTTCCAAAGACTGCACCAATTCTCACTGATAAATATAGGAACTCACAAACTTATATATGGATGAATTTATTTTTCAAAATGGTATACTTACCCTATTCACCATTTTGTTATTATCTTGATTTTCACTCGATACATCTAATCAAAGGAAAGAAGAAAGAAAGAAAGAGAAATGATTAGGAAAAAAGGAATTATTTTAAGTTAAAATAAGTATATATGAAACAAATATGACTGTTGTTTTCAAAAAAATAAAACTAACATGCTGAAGATTTTCATGAAATGGAATTATTCAAGCAATCTTTCTTCTTCTTTCTTATTTTTTCATTTTGCTTCATTTATGTCTAACTTTTCTATTATTTAAATAACATTTTGAACTGTTGACATCTATCGCCATAGATATAAGATACTTCATAGATATCTTTCTGATCATTAAAATCCTCCGAATTCCATACTATCAATAGTTTATCATTTATGCTATAATGGTTGAAATCAGTGGACCTTGTTCATAAACAGTTTTATATACTGCTACTTATTTGCGAAGCGTAACTGTTTTAAAAAACATGAGGTACTAAGTATTATTTTTCGGGAGTTATTTTGTGAGGATTTTATTTGTTTTAAGTTTGATCAAACTGATCACAAACTAACTTTGGGAGATCAGTCTGATGCTCGCTAGTGACTGGTTACAGGACGAAGTCGTGACTAGTAGGGTCCACTAGATCGGGTGGGAGGATAAACACTCGCCATTGACATTGGCTGGTGGTTGAGCTGAAATCACGAAGCTGGTAGAAGTTGGGGATCATGGGCCATTAGATTGGGTCTCAATGGCTGAATGGTCTGGGAGTTTGACTAGCGACCAGCAGGTCTTCGGTTCGAATCCCGGTTAGTGGATGGGTACTGCCGATGAAACCATTACGCTACTGGGACCTGATCGAAGTTCAGTGGGTGCGTATTGGTGAGGAGTCTAGAAATAGGACGAGACAACTGTCCAGTACTCTGAAGTTTTCCAATGGTCCTCTAACCAATGTCATTTCATGATGAAATCCTGAATTATAGATTCGTTTCTTTTACAAGGACCAACATTTAAATTCATGTGTAAAGATTTAAAGAAATGTATAAAATTAAGTAAAAAATAATATTAGGAATTAATATTTTCCAAGAAATGACAACTGAAATGAATTAGTTTCACGGAAGTTCATCTATTTAAGGCTAGAAAGTTTCATTGATGTCTAAGCTTCAACCTACAAATGTCATGGCTAGCAAGTATCATCAACTCAATGATACTGATCTGAAGTAAAAAAATTTATAGAAAATAAATAAAAAATAAAACTGACTGATTGATGAAAACAATATTTCGAACAAAAATGTAACAGTCCAAGTCAACAGAAATCATGAAACTACATATAAAGATAGAGGAAAGAAATGTAACATCACTACAACAGACTATATGCGAGAAACAGGATAATTAAAGGGATATTAGAAAGGATACTCAGAATGTAAATGGTAGCAAAGACATTTAAATATATGCGCCGTAATGTGCCTTTTTAGCCAAGACACCAACAGTTCGCAACCATTGGTGAAACTAAAGAAACTTCCAAGTGTAATCATACGCTAAGTGGACTGTCGAGTGGAACCTAAATTCGAATCAAAAGGTTGAGCGTCCGATGGTGGCGGGAGAAAGCAGAGTAAAACACAGATATACTACTGAACTCATTTCCACCTAGCTTTACGACCACCACCAACACTTTATTTCCTCTTTACATGATCTTCTGAATTTCACACTCAGAAGTCCTGTCTGTCGATTCAAATTTACACTCCACTCGATGGGCCGCTTAGCATATGAAGGTTTCCAAAGAATATGTCTAATCAATCTCCAATTCCTTTATCATATTTGACGGGAAACAGGTTTTTCGTTGGTTCATTGTCAGTCAGCTTTCCTTGTTGCTTATTCTTTCTGACTGGCCATTCGATCTTTAATATCGAATGAAGACAACTAGTTGTTGATGAAAGTCTGTATCAGCCTGTTGGAAATAATTTCAGTGAGGCAAACGCCAAATCCATGAAACGCATAGAAGCAATGAATGACGTAGCATTCAGTATGATATAAATGAACCATATAAAAGCTATCTAAAAATTTAGATGGTAGTTCTTGTACACATTCATTCAGTCATAATGTGCTGTGTGCTACTGATAAGATTTATCAGTAGTATACCAATAAAGAAATGTTCATCGGGATAAAACATCAACTAGTAGGGAGATAGATTCGATGTCAGAGAAAGTAAATAATAAAGTGTTGTGGAGATACATGGAAGACGTGAAAGGAACACAAAGAAACATGGTATGAAGGCCAGAAGTAGCACAACAAAGTATGCTATGTCAAAATGAATCAACAATTTTGGAAAGAAACGGCTTCATAAAACCAATTTCTCAATCTTCTAAATCAAAATTAAACTATCCAGAAGTATTTTTATAACATACTCTCAGTTATTATTTATATTACTAAACATATTTTTATTTATAAATGTAAGTAATAAATTCAGATGAAATAAATAATAGTGAAACCTGAAGTGAAGATTAATGGCATCATCCAAGATGACAATGGTTCATTATGAACATAAAATAAAGTAATATTCCTATGAATTCTTTCGTTTTTGATTTACTATAGAAGCAACAATGAAGAAGGATTGTAGCATAATCAATTACTTAAATAAATTGAATTATTAGAATAACATTGAATGACTCAAATTTTTTAAAACAAAACACCACAAATAAATGAACACAATCCAAATATAATGAAAAATTCTATTGATACAATTTAACTACTTGTAAGTAAGCAAAATAAATTTCCACCAATTAGTTCTCAGGTATTTGATTTTTTACAGATATGACTACGGTCTGATATCAGTTAGAGAACCATTGAAAACTAACAAGGAGTACTGGACAGCTGCTTTTTCCTAGTACTCGGAACTCATTAGCGATACACAAGCACTGGGGTTCGAACCTAGGACATTGAGGTAGAAGTTAGAATTCATGGGCTGGCCGTTGGATAGGGTCCTCGTGGCTTAATCATCGACGAACTTGACTTGTGACAAGAAGGTCCTGGATTCAAATCCCGGTAGGCGTATACTGCTTATGAGTTTCAAACTAGGACAAAACACAGCTGCACAATACTCTCTAATTTTCAGTAGTTCGCCAACTGATGTCAGTCTACAGTCAAACTTGAAACTCTATAAAGTATAGTCACTTTTCGTGATGTAATAGAATCTGGGTAAATACTTTATTACTTAAGTGAAATTCACGAAAATTATCAATTAACTAGGTAATATATTTAACTAGTACTAATAATAATGCTAACAATAATGTTGAGAAAATCAGAAAGAACTGAAATACTCATCAAGTTGTGAAGAAAACAAAAGCCAATTCAACGAGGAAGATTTTCTTCCTCGACGAAATCCCTTTCAAAGGCTGTAAACCATATTCCTATATTTTTGAGTAATACGAGTGCCTAACATAACTGACGAAATTACTCAGATGTAGTTTCTGAAGATAAAAGGAAATAAGGTAATAACTGGCTACACCGTAAAAGAAAGGGTTTGAAGTTCGGTATGGTAAAAATTGTTATTAGATGCGAATGGGAAGTGATTGAGTGTCCACTTGACAAGTGTGAAGGTGAGACGAAAAGCTTACAAAATACATACAAGAGTCTGTAAGATAAGTGATAATGAATTAACTGCTAAAAATCGAAGCAGGAAAATAGGTAAAAGTTTAAGAAGACGGTAGATTGATAGACTAGACGAACGTTTCCGCACACAGTGATGGGTGTAACACCAACAAAACGTTAGAGCCTCCATCATACTCAACTTTCGACAAATAACATAATTTGTACGACACGAACTTATCTTTTAGGTAATTTTCAAGTAGGACTTCAGTGGAGCTACGTAGTCAGAGTTCATCAGGTGCTAGGGGATAAAACCAGTAACTGACTTGCATTATCTTGACTGAAAATCATGTTGAGTAATGTAAGGATAAAACTGACAAGTAAAATGTACAAGTTGGAAAATCTGAGAGTGATTGTAGTCCCTCTGAACGTTGTACTGTTCAGTTTTTTTTATATTTTTACCATCTTCACACTTGCCAGCTGGAGACTCAGTGACTTCGCTTTTCATCTAATAACAGGTTTTACTTTATCAGATGTCAAACACATCCTTCCACCGTGTTACTGACTATTACTTAGCTTCCTTTTATCTCTGGAAACCATTTCTGAATGATTGTATAAATTATTTAACACATCCGTATTATTGCCATACGTTTCTTAAAAAAATTAAAATACGACTGTAAAACATTTGAAGATGACTTCGTGGAGAAAGCAAATCTCCTTCACTGAAATATATGCAGAGTTGAAAAGTGAATAAATCTGAATGTGACATTCTGAGGGAACGCGATGTATTTGGCTACTGATTTATAATATCAGAATAATCCTATGCATGCAGCCTCTACATTTCCTTCTGTAATATATTTACAGTCATCGGTTTTAACCACTCTTGAGCAACTAATCAGCCTAATCGCCTGTCATCTGAGAAAATATTCCCGCCTTATCACTTCATGTGAGACTTAAATACAGGCTTCTTTACATCTTCTTCATTCAACGTTAAGATGTACACAACCAAATAACTCTGAATGTGACACATTGAACGAATATGTCTGTGATTCTTAGAATTGTTAATAGATTATTAGCATGGTGGCTGAGTGTCCCTTCGACAACCATGGAGAAGGTGACGAGAAACCCAATGGAATTCACAGAAACTACAAGTAAAAATGTGCATTATCCAACATAATTTTCAGTCAATTACTGGCCTAATTCTCCACCACCCGATGAACTCGAACCACGTAGCTTCACTGGAGTCCTGTTTCAAAATTACTCACAAGATAAGGTCATGCAACCTAGAGTAGTTCGAAAGTTATTCACCCTAGGCCGGTTATATGCACTTGCTCAAAAACCAGACCATATACACCAGAACTTAAGGGAAAAGTAAGCAAAGATTTATGCAGGATGAAAATTAACAGTGTTCAACAATTGAATCAAGAATGTTCATCTTATCTAAAGCTATGAGGTAAGTATACATACATCTTGATATCAGTTG